GTTATCAGCAGCTCCTTGTCGGTGGACAACTCTGTGTCACCTGTTTTCCATTTATACGTCACAGGTCCAAAGTCAGCAGTGACTTGGGCTTTACAGGTTAGATTACAGCTGGTCTTTTCATCGTTGTACTTTATGGACACTGTGGGTTTTGGGACCGGTTCTGACAAAAACAGGAACAGATTATCTCAACTTGATTCAGGTTAAAACCTAACAAACCTCAGTCAAACCTGCTGAACTCACTGATAACCTGGAGTTCCTTCTTCTCCAGAACTTTGTTGTTGATCTCAACTATGTAGCTGCCGCTGTCCTCTAGAGTCAGACTGTTGATAGTTAAACTTCCACTTGTTTTATTAAAGTCACAGCGACCTGGAAGCAGGATCCAGATAAAGACATCATGGATGATGAAAATCTGAAGGTTCTGGGGTTTTAAGACAGGTTCTGCTCAACAAATGAACTTACTTTGAAAACTTCTGTAACAAAAAATGTCCTGTCCAAACCAGTCTAAGGTGAGGTCAGCATTGTTGTGCTTCCATGTTACTGACTTGAAGGGCTCTGAAATCTGACCTGGATTCAGAACAATGGAGCCACCAACTTTTCCATATATCAGATCAGCTGTGAATGAAAAACAAGAAAAATTTTACTACATGTGAACATTTTCTTTCTCTGAGCTGCTGTAATATTTAGCAATGTTTAGGAATTTAGCTGCTTAAACTACCAAAGATCCCCTGCTGATTGATTCAATACCTTTCTGTAAAAGTTTAAAAAAACGATCCATTGTGTCAGGAATCCAGCTTGTGTGGTCTGTTTTTGTGTTTCCTTTCCTCCTCCACCAGGTGGTGCCCCGTCCTCATTGTGTCTCCCTGCACACCTGCAGCTCATTGCCTCATTACCTGTGGAGTGTTCGTAAGCTGCTGACTGCCACTACCTTTATGCCAGAGTGTTTGCCAATACAGGGTTCTCTAGCCATGCTTAGTTTAGCAGAGTCTAATCTGAGTTTTTGTTTGCCAGTTTTGCATTATCTAGCCAAGCTGAGTTTTTCTGAGTCAAACTGAGTCTTAACTTTGTTTTTGTCTTTGCCTCTCGGCAGGAAGTCATCCTGCAAACTGAATTTGTTCTGTCCTTCTCTCTCTGGAGGGTTCAACTGAGCTTCTTACTGAGCTGGGGTTCCAAACAGGAAGGACCCACCTTCCCCAAGAGGTCGTTTGAGCTTCACACCAAGCAAAGGTTTCATCAGCCCCACAGCCTGTTCAAGTACTGCAGGAAATCTGAGTAGTCAGCTTCTTCATTTACCAAGGAACAACCGCAGTCTGATTAACTCAGTCCACCCATCACCAAACAAGACAATCTCTGGTACAATCCTCACTGTCTGGATTCCATAAAGGACACCTTTCCCTGGAGAAGTGAGTCCGCAACCTTTTTCTCCAATTCTAAACCTAAGATTAAAATTTCCCACTGAGCCTGAACTAACCGCAGTGTCTTCCCCTCACCTTCCAGTCCCTGTTGAGCAGTGCTCAGAGCAGCACAGGATTCATCACATAATTCCTAAAAATAAACCTGTTGAAACTTTTCACTGGTCTCTGTTTGGCTTCTGCATCTTGGGGTCAGACCTTTAGATAAAAATCATGACTCACTGGACTTGGTTTCCAAGGTTTGAAGGGGGGATAGCCGTTAAAGGGGTGATTGTCTCCTGTAATACCTGAAACCTGTCAATGATTGTGAAGGGTCGGTGATTCACCTGGCTGAAGAGAGGATGTACTTTGTTCCTCTTTGATGGGGTGGGGGTTGTGGTGATACCTGGAAGGGATCATCCCTATAACTGAATTGTTAACATGTTAAGAGAGAAAAAACAACTTTAAACGGAGGTGGTGGACTCGGATTTCAGCTTCCAAAAACTTACAATTCAGTTATAGAGATGGTCCCTTCCAGGTATCACCACAACCCCCACCCCATCAAAGAGGAACAAAGTACATCCTCTCTTCAGCCAGGTGAACATTCCCTCCTTTAACTACCGATCTTCAGAATCATACAGGTTTCAGATATTACAGGCTAACAATGGAACCAAACGACCCGCTCGTCGGTTTCAATTTGCATGTTTCCAATCATTGCAAGGCCTTTTCTATATAAAGCCTCAAACTCACTGCGGATCAAGACATTTGAATTGAGAAAGCTTCCTACAGAGGAAGCGAAACGTCTTCAAACATGGAAACAAGGCCAGTGGATCGTTTTTAAAACGTTTACGGAATGACTATGACCTAGGTGACTGAGAATTTTTATCAGCATATTCAAAACCTTAAATTGTGGTTTAAAGAAGATTCAAAAACTTAATTTCTTAATTCGATACAGTATTTTACAATCGTCTAATATATTCCAGCTGATTCACGGCTTCAAAAAGGATATGAAGGGTTTTTCAGTCAACTTTCCTGATTTTTAAGTGCTCTTCTTTTGACCCGTTAAACATAACAGATTGAATAATTTGATTCATTTTGTCACCAAACCACTGAAAACGGAAAAAAAATTAAAATAAAATACATTCCATATTTTATTAAAGTTGGTAAGAGCAGGCAACTTTTTTTTTCAGATGAATAGTACTTTTAGTCAAAATATCCAACGTTTAAATCAAAATAAAAACGAAACATTTTTACATAATTTTTACTTAAGAAGCTTTAGTAAAATAAAGATTTCCATGAATTTTGAGATAATAAACAAATAATGCCACTAAAATCAACCGGAGATGTGAGTGTGTGTATATATATATATATACATATGTTTATGTATATGTTTATGAAGGAATGTGCTTATCATCCAGTAAAGAATGAGAAAATAGTATATTAATTTCTGTCCTCACCATCACTTAGTTCAGTTGAGCAGATAAGGAGAAGAGCCGTAGAGAGAGAAAAGATAATGAACATGGTCGTAAAATAAAAAAACAAAAAACAAGGTGGACACTGAAAACACAATTTCAGTTGGTGTTACTAAAGATGAATGTAAGCGGTTATTCCAATGTCTGTAAGGCTGAAAAGGAAGAGAAATAATGAAGTAAAGAAGGAGAAAAGATTGAGTCAAAATGCATATGGTAATGCCAAAAAGGAAAGTAATTTGCAGATAATAATTGACAAAGTCACAGGTGTCTGAAAATAATTGACAGAGAAGAAGTAAAATTATAAGCTAAACTCCTTTGATTTGAACTTCTCCGCAGCTCCCTCTGGTGTCATAATATAAGAAGGTAACAGAATCTGGTTTAACACCTACTAGAAGTTCACCTTCTTATCTTTGACGTGTCAGAATGACTTGGAAATAAGTTGTACAAAGTAAAAAGGCTTTTTCAGTTTCAGTTTGGCAAGATTGTCTTATATCATTTTAGTTGTTGCTTTTTTGTGTCATCCTATTTTTTACCATCCAACCAGTCTCCACATAGCATCTAACTAAAGTTCGATTAAATGGATTCATTATCAAGATAATTTAGATAAATAATTTATGAATTTGATTTACTGATAAAGTCCTTTTCTGATATGTATTTCAAGCATTCACTGTGCAAATTGAATAATAAACTTTTGAATAGAAACTTGTAAAAACAAAACACGTTTGTTCTTTTGTTTCTTCTCCTAAAGATCTCTAATTTCTTTGCTCTTTGCAAACAATTCCCTGTTTGCACAAAGCTGAAAGTCAGTCTAACTTTAACTATTTGTGACCCTGCCTATGAAAACCCAGCTAAAGTCATTTTTTGGTGAATCTCAACTTAATGTATAAAACCATTCTACACAATGTTAAGAATGGTTTTATATATTAAGTTGAGATTCACCAAAAAATGACTTTAGCTGGGTTTTCATAGGGAGGGTCACATTTTTTCAAACAGGCAAATTAATTAGACAATTAGAGAACAGATCCATAGTTCTCAGCCATAAACAGGATTCTCTGAGTTTTTGGGTCAGCTGGACTGGACTTTGACTAGACCATTGGAACAATATTCTTTACATTAAATGGGATTTCTTTCAGTGTCTAGCTTGTGTCAAGCTAGTCTCAAGTTCCAAGCAAGAACTATCCCCACATCACAATGCTCCCACCACTGTGTTTCACTATTGTATGTTTTGTATGTTTAACTAATATAACCAATGCAGTCTTGGCTGTGCTACTTAAAACATGATTTTACATGTCGAGATAACAGTTTAACGTTGGTCTCCTTCCAGCAGAGTTTCTTCTCTTCTTTCATATGTTAGCTTTATTCCCTACATGGTTTGAGGCTAACTGCAAACTGGGCTCCATGCTCCTCCATAAAGAACTGATTAAGGCTCAGTAATTTTGCAAACATTTCATTTGTGATTTCTTTCAGCCAAAATGGCAGCAGCGATTTCATTTTGTTTTTTCTTTTTCATGGAAAAAAACAACAATCATGTAGATGTTTCATTGTTTTAATCCCCTTGCAGGCTTACTTGTCCAGAGTCCATTGTCTATTGGACTTCTGCCACTAGAGGGTGCTACTGCTGCTGGTGGTGAGACATATCGTGTTCACTTCCTGTTTTTTGTGTTGCTGGTCAGGCAACACAACACCTCTTTTTTTCTGTGATATCTTTGTATCTAAGTAACTCTAACTATCCAGAAGGACCTTCTGCTTCACTTTTATACTGAGCACTTGTCGCTTTCACAAAGTTTTATTTTTGGTAGTAAGGAGTGGCTAGTCTAGGCTAGAACTGGCTTAGCATCGCTAAGCTATGGCTTCTCTCTCTCCCTCCCTTGACTCTTTTCCAACTCTTTCTTCTTCCTCTCATCTCTCCTGCTCTCTATCTTTGTAGCTTTGGAGGCGAGGGTGTCAGAGTTAGAATCCAGGCTTTGGGCTGTTGAAGATCCACAGGTTAAAGTAGGGCCAACTGTTAAGCCACCAAGAACAGGTACACCCCCATGTAGTGGTCCTCCAACAGTGCCTGAGCAGCCAGGTGATTGAGTAACGATACATAGAAAGCATAGTCGTGGATCTTGGACCACTGGTCACCCCCAACCCATCCATGTTTCTAACCGATTTTCCCCGCTCAGTGATGCACTCACTGAGAAGCCCACTTTGGTAATTGGCAGCTCCATAACAGAAAGGTGGCATTAGAGGCACCAGTGACCATTGTCAAATGTTTGCCGTGATGGGCGACATCAAATCCTATCTTAAACTGCTGACTAAGGATACATTTAAATACAGTAAGATTGTTATTCACAATGGCGGTAATGACACCCGGTTACGCCCGCTTGGAGGTTGCTTAAAATTGGTGTTGCTTGTCAGTGTTTGCCAAAACAATGGTCACCCTGATCTCACCAGTGATGACATGTTTAGCCGCATGTCGTCTTTCAACCGCTGGTTGTCAAGGTGGTGTTAAGAAAACAATGTTGACCACATTAATAATTGGCAATCCTTTCGGTGAAAGCCTGATTGGATTCAGAAAGGCGGCATCCGTCCCACTTTGGATGGTGCAGCTCTTCTTTCTAGG